TGCAGCGACATTGCTATTTGGCGTTTAGCGGGGAACTCTCTGCCTCCGATCGCCAGCAGATAGGTGTCGAAGGCGAATCGCCACTGCCTAAGCGCCACGGGAGGAAGATCCGGGTGCGCCAGGAACGCCACAAAAACAATTCGGATACCGGATTGTGTGCTTCGTAAGTGACTCTCACATCCTCGTCGCCATGTTCTGTGGCGTCGGAGCTGTGAGCCACAGGTAGGTACACGCTACAGATGTATTTCCGGAAGAAGAAGTTCTCGGAGTATTTAACTCCTAATCTTGCTTACAGCCGCCTTGCCATATACAGAAATACTAATTTACAAATAGAAGTGACCACTAAATTACAAACTACGTAGCACGACACAACAGTTGGCCGGGTTTGATTTTACGGACAACAACCGAAGCAGGAACTGTTTAACGGGATATGATGACCTTTCGAACGCCGTTTGCCGCTAAGTGCTTCATTGCTTAGGAGCTGAGGATACCAGACTGCTCAATGTGCATTGTGCAGTGTGAGTGATGGGGCTTTCATGGCCTAGCTTTCATATAACAATCTTGGAGATGTATGGTGCGTAGCCCTTAGACATGTCAACTTGAACTGACATGGAACTAATGTGCGTTATTTTTCATCTGCTACAGATATGGGATGAGAAGGGATTTATCTTAGGGATTTATTTACAATATATCAGTAGCCGTTTATAGGAGAAGTCGTGCCGGGGTCCGCGGAAGATAGAGAAATGTTGTTCAGCTGCTTTGATTGTCATGAACCAGTCCCATGTGCAATTGACATTGGTTGTTTGTGTTCGATGCGGTGTGGCTGATGCGGACTTGTTGTCGCAAAGCCTGGATAATTGTCCCGTAACGCTTTGTCGGAATGTCGGCAGCAAGTGCGACACTTTGATCAGTTGTTCACCGTTGGGCGCTGGAGTCAGTGATTCTTTTGGCTACTGGCGTGACAGTTATTACAATCACGGGTGCTAAAATTGTCTAACGTTTCTTCTCGCCTAACGTTAATTGTTGATTGTTAAACGGCATATGAAGTCAAATATATGTTATGGTGTACTGGTTTTTTATTTTGACTGCTGGCGTTCTTCAACGGTCTTTCCCCAAAACATCGATACAACATACGTCGCGCGAAAGACGTCACCTTCGATGCTAAGCATCCGCGAGCTGCAACATGCTGTACTTCATCACATACCCATCAATGAGACGTTGTGACATTTTATAACATAAGACTCGGGTCTGTGGAAGGACGGCAGCACCGTTTACCACTCCTCTGTGTCACCTGCCGCCGACGTCTGTAGGCTCTTGGCACAGCGAGGTAAGCATCGCTCGGACGGCGCGCTGGCGCACCGGCACCGCGGCGTGGTTCACGTCCCGGCACTGGCCGCGGCGGCCCTGCAGCTGCCCTCTAGTGCCCGGCGCCAGGCACGTGCTGTGGTAGAAGTGGAGAGTGTCCGGCAGACTGGACGCCCACACCCGGGTCGTGCCACCCGTCTGAAGACCGGGAGGGCTGAGGTCAGCCAGCGACACGCACACGAATGCGATAAAGTACCTTGACGTCTCGTGATTTGAGGAAACGCTGTTAGGATGTTGATGATGAGTCGATAAGTGAGGCTAGCATCATCACTAAAAATATCAACAGACCTTCCCCGACCTCGTAAATCACTTCCTCGTTACGTTTGAACCGCTGATGTGAAGCATGCGTATCAGGGATGTTATACGTGTGAGCCGGGTGCCCCTGCCTCCCGAGAGTGGTAGCCTGTTTTCCTCTCGTCACCTACCTGGCTAACGATGTCGAACATCAGTGCGTTGATGGCGGCTATGACGCCCCCGACGCGGGACCGGTAGCCGAGGCCCTCTGTCATCTCGGGCCCGTCGAGCCGGTACAGCAGTCGGGTGTGCGCCGCCAGCCGCCGTACCCGGGCCGCCAGCGGGGCGGCGTCTCTGCGCAGCTCCAACACTCGCTCCGGCAGCGGCACGTGGTCCGCGCGCTCCATGAACGGCTTGGCGTACCACATGCCGGCCGTGAGCACCACCATGTGCGGGCAGTCGGCGCCGGCGCGGCGCTCACAGTCGTCCGCCAGCGCCGCCAGCCGCGCCTCCAGGTCACCGTCCGCCAGCGGGTGCCAGTAGAACCGGGCGGCCAGCAGCTCACTCGCGGCGGCCACGTCGCAGGCCAGGAGCAGCGTCATGTCCTCGGGCGTGACGCCGATCGTGTGACCGGTCACGCAGCGCTCCGGGGAGCCCAGCACCTCAGCGCGCAGACCGGGCAGCTGCAGCTCCACCGGGAACACCTCCGGCAGAGGGCGGCCCAGCCAGTCCAGCGACAGCTCGGCCAGCACCTGCTCAAAGTGGATCCGCGCCCGGGAGTCGCCGATGAAGACGAGCTGTGCGCGCTGACCGGTGCGCGCCGCTCGGCGCTGCAGACAGTGTGCTAGACTTGCACCGTGGAGCGCGGGCGGCGGGCAGGTGTCGGGCGCAGCGTCCGCCGGTTCCCAGTGCTGGCGCCAGTCGGAGAGAGTGAACGGCCGGCTGCAGCGGCGTCGAGAAGCCTCCGTCCTGGCCAGCTCGGACGGCAGCGCCACGCCTGATGGACACAGTAGTGGGAAACGGTGGGATGAAACATCCTAATTTTAGTTTGACTTGACGTCGGATTTCTAAGTATCTCTAACATTGTTAGGTACAGTGTATTCGCTCGACAAAGTACAAGTTATTCAATGATAAAAGTTTCAAGTCATGGATATTGGCGTGAGCAAAGAAGGTAAGTAAGTACAGGCTGTTGCATGTTCAGTATGCGCCGGGTCAACCAACAAAAAAAAGTCAATATTAGCAAAAAAAAAAAGTCAATATTAGTGGGTAGCCCGTTACACACTGAAAAAGGTGAGGCAATCGGTATGCTTTCGTATCGGGCTTACCTTCATACATCCACCATCGACTGAGAAGCAGCAAGATGAAAATGGGCATCCCGATCTTTAATAATCGGTCTCTTAGCTTAGCCCAGCGTTGATGAGCCTGCGTCATGTTGCTTGATTGTTAATGAAAGTAGTATCTGCGAACGAAGAAAAGGGAAGACGATGGTTTCGGCATTTGCTGCAATAGTCAGGGTGAACGTTAGACGCCGTTCGTCATTTGGTTATCTCGATCTCGATGATTGCGTTAGAAATCATGAAGCATGAGTGCAACGGCCGCTCAGCAGGCTGCCGCCGTGCTCGGCGCTGAGGCGGGCGCCACCGCCCCCCGGTTCATACCAACAGTAGCCCAAGTGTGGAATGGATGGCCGGCAGCAGACCGAGATGTGCCAGTCATTGCCAGCAGCAGCAGCAGTGATCCGACCCGACGCAGCAGCGTTTATCAGCCGCGCACTGCTGCACAGCCGGCCGGCGCTGACCACTGTTGTCTCTCACCGGTCAATGCTGGCCGAGAGATGTCACGGTGACCGTCTTCTGTGTCCTATTGGGAACAATGGTGTATACCGCCTTACGCTGGTGTGCTTTTCACGGTGCAATAACGTCTATAGACAGCATTGATTGTGTTAGACTCGAACAAAATGATCCTCAAGCACTCACCAGCCGCACGTGGACAGCAGGCTATACCTGACCTGGCCGGCACCAACCGAACACCGAGTTGAGCTTGTCGCCGGCAGACACTAGCTTGCTAACTGTGCCGGTCGGGTGAATTGAGCTGACCACTGAAATGTTCAGTGTCACAGACGGTCACCGTGTGCCAGCCTTACTTCTGCAGCGGTTGTGAAGACGATCCGTGACATCCGGTGACCTGAACCAACCTCTGCCGACCTGGTAACCTGAACCGACCTCTGCCGGCCTGGTAATCTGAGCCGACCGCTGCCGACTGTGGTCGCGGCCCTACGTCCCCTCACTCTACAGTCTGCGCCACTCGCCACTCGCTGCCGCTACGAACGGTTCACCGGCGCGCCCATCCGACCACTGACCTCCGGTGCAGGCGGTGGGCTGCCGAGCTGGAGGCCGGCGGACTGAGTGCACTGCACTGCACCACAGCCGCGGGGCACAGCAGAGCCGGCCGGCCAATGGCCAATGAACGGCGGTGTGTGGTGAGACTTGGCCTCTCTCTGCAAGGGCAAGGGCAATGACGGAAGAGCGACTGTGTGAATACTGGCGCCGGTGGGATAACAAAGCTTGAATGATCGGAATCAATGATCGTGATAATGAAATGTGTCAGTAGACCGATGAGACGGTAAACAGACAAGACCTTGAGAGAGATCAGAGCACCGGCAGCTTAGAAGCCGTGAAAGGAGCGTGTCGTTATTTCACAGTTCGATGCGAGAATTACGACGGCAAAATCAAATGCATTGATTGACGTACACCTTACAGCGATGCATGGCGGCATTTTCGTTGCAGTTTAAAGACCGTTCTATTGGATGTAAGCAGGGTAGGAAAAGGATTGTTTGATAAAGTAGTGAGCCATGGTTTAAGCTAGAAGTAACTGCGGTTTTTAATTAGTGCACTATGATTAACATAGGCTTTTTTTTAATCGGCAGAAATTCTTGGGGACTCTAAGTCTAAGAGGTTCCCCAGCAGCACACGAAAATTCCTTTTTAGCCTGCTGATTAAAGTACTGTCCAATGTAGGTATATGTCAATACCCGTCTCGATGCAGGACTAGACTGAAGACAAGGCTCTGCTTTAGCCCGAGATCCCTCGCCGTCCAATGTTCCGTGCCCGGGTTGTCCCTTCCGCGGTGCCTTGGGACTGTCTCCGCCCTGCCCCTCCGCGGTGCCCGGGACGGACTCCTTCCCTGCACCTGCCGCTTTGCTCGGGGGCTGATTCCAGCCCTGCCCGGTGGCTGCGCCCGCCGCTACCCTCGCAGCGGCGCCCGGGGGCTTACTCCGCCCCTGCCCCTCCGTCACTGCCCGGGGCTGTCTCCGCCCCTGCCCTCGCCGTGGTGCCGGAGGGCGCCATCTGGCGGCTCCGGCGCGATGACGTCAGCGCTGCCTATCGGCACACCGCTCGGCGTCGCGTCGGTTGGGGCACTCCTGCCGACCAAGGCCCTATATACCGGTTGGGGCACTGCTGCCGACAGTGTCTGTGGTGGTCGGCCTCGGTCCGTCTGGAACGATGGCCGCAGGGACGGTCCACCGGCCGGTGCTGGTGCTGCTGCTGGGGCTGGTGCTGGTGAGCGGTGGTGCAGAGGCGCTGGGCCACGAAGCGTACGGGTCGCTCTACCAGATGGGCAAGGAGGCCTACCTGGAGGAGGATTACCGCTCGTGTGTGAACCTGCTGCTGCAGGCGCTGCAGGGCCGGCGCGAGTTCGAGCAGCTGCTGGTCGAGTGCCGTCACCGGTGTCGGCAGCAGGCCGCCGGTGAGCCGCTGCTGATCACCGACGCGGCCGACGGAGAGCTGGCCACCTTCGAGCGGCTGATTCGCGAGACGCGCTGTCTGGTGCAGTGCCACCGCGAGCGGCTCGGCCAGCACGTGCAGCAGTTCTACGACTCGGCCTGGGCTGACGACGAGTTCAGGGAGAGGAAGCCGTACGAGTACCTCCAGCTGTGCTACTACAAGGTGAGTGCGACGCCGCGGCTCGGCCGTCCTCTTCGGTGTCCTCTAAAGTCTAAATCCTCCCCGAGGCTGCTCCTTGGACGTTCATTTCCCCTGCGTCATCTCCAGTCTTCCCTACTCTCGCTCCCGGCGCTTCCAGCTCGGAAATGGCCACACACCGGCACTGCCCCTCCTCGCTCACGACCCTCAATATTCCTAGTTTCCGGTCCGCCGTCGAACCCTCCCCTCCCCTCCGACGTCTCGAGTTCCAGAATTGTCCCTTGGACCCTCTCCAATCTCCCCTCCCCTCGAGTTTCCTAGCTCCCCAGTACCAACCCTCCCCTCCTTTGCCTCCAGCAGTCTCAGCTCCGGGTGACCCGAGTGACCAGTGACCACATGCTCCCCGCCCCCGCTCCGGTTTGCAGCCGGCGCCTCGTGGCACGTCGTGGGCGAGACGCCGCGCCAGCTGTGCCCGGTCTGTTTATATTGCGGTGCGGCGCCGAGTCGGTGGGCGGGGGAGGGGGAGATTGTGGGGCGGGAGCAGGGTGAGACGGTGGACGGGGAGGGGAGTTGTGGTAGGAGGCGTGAGCTGGCTGAGACGGTAGGTGGGGAGGGTTTGTAAAACGATGAGCAATGAGGGTAAGATAGTGGGCGAGGAGAGTTTGTTAGACGATTGACGGGAGGGTTTGTAAGGCGGTGGGCGGATAGAGTGAAACGGTGGATGGGGAGGGTAAAATGGTGAGACGGTGGACGGGAAGGGGAAGTGAGGTGAGGTGGGGAGCTGAGTGAAACGGTGGACGGAAAGTGTAAGGAAGGGTTTGTCAGACGTTGGGCGCATAGTTTGAGAAGGTGGGCGAGAGGGGAAAGACGGTGCCCGGTGGCTCACTCCGTACCTCACTGTCAATCTGTCCCGTCTCGCAGACTGGTGAGATACAGAAAGCGGCCAACGCGGCCTTCACGGTGCTGCTGCAGCAGCCCAACAATGAGGTGATGCGCGAAAACTTCAAATATTACACCACGATGGAGGAGGTCAACAACGCCGACATCGTCAGCCTGGAGCCGCAGGTGGGGACTGGAGCCGGGGCGACGCTCGCCCGCTGAGGCACTGTCGTACCATGTGTTGTGTATCGTATACGATACACACGATATCGTAAACGATATGAGGTATATCGTATCGTACCTCATATCGTACCTTTATACAACAGCCAGCACTATCCCACTTGCGTGTGTGTGCGCATGTGTCCTGTGCAGCGAGCGTCCACTCATTACACTGTAAGCGAAGTCTTTTCCCGCTGGCAGTTTCCTTGCCCCCTCTCCATACCACCATCTGATAATTTCTGCATCTACACTCTTACCAGGGTACCGGGAGCACACTGAGCTGTACGTGCGCGGTAACGCGGGAATTTCTGCATCCGCCAGGAGCACACTAAGCTGTACGTGCGCGGTAACGCGGGAATTTCTGTACCCGCCAGGAGCACACTGAGCTGTACTTGCGCGGTAACGCGGGAATTCCTGTATCCGTCAGGAGCACACTGAGCTGTACGTTCGCGGTAACGCGGGAATTTCTGTACCCGCCAGGAGCACACTGAGCTGTACTTGCGCGGTAACGCGGGAATTCCTGTATCCGTCAGGAGCACACTGAGCTGTACGTTCGCGGTAACGCGGGAATTTCTGTATCCGCCAGGAGCACACTGAGCTGTACGTGCGCGGTAACGCGGGAATTTCTGTATCCGCCAGGAGCACACTGAGCTGTACGTGCGCGGTAACGCCGCCTACGAGTCGGAGCGGTGGCCCCAGGTGAGCCGCCTGATGGAGGAGGCGCTGGACGGCTTCCTGGAGGCCGAGCGGCGCTGTCGTACTCTCTGCGAGCGCTTCTTCCCGCAGGGGTTCAACCCGGACTTTGTGTCCAACGTGGCCAGTGAGTTGGGCGGGCGTCCGCTAGTCACCACCCGTCTGTGCGCATACTATGATGAGATTACTGACGGCGGTACGATATATTACGTTTTAATTTATTATAATCATGAAAATGGGTTATTTTTCCTAATCATCAGTCAGCACCGATGTCGCGCTGGCTTATAGGGGATGGTGGGGTAATTTGGCCGCTTTTTTTAGAAAACGATATAACTTAAAATTGACGACTCATTTCTGCATTTTCTCAACGCTGGCAGGTGTCGCATTCATTTTACTTTATTGGACAGTGAACTTGAAATGATAGAGTAATTACTTATATTGAAATTGTGACGTATTACAAAGGTCTGCAAGGCGGCCAAATTGCCCCACTAGCAGGGTTATTTGGCGGGGGGTGTGGGGCAATTTGGCCGGTGTTAGTTTGCGGTCGGGATTTTCTGTTATATTGCGAGTCAGCTTCAGATTCAGCAATGACGTGTGTCCTATGACGCATTTGCCGCATTTTGGAGGTTGGCTCAGGTGTCACAGGGGTCAAAATAGCCAAATTAGCGGCTCTAGATGCGATCACAGTTTTTTTTACGAATAACTTTTGAAGTAATGAAGCTGGGCCAAAACTTCGAGTACCATCGTAATTCTCTCGTCAGTCCGCATCGAAAGATATATGTGTTGACCTTGAGAAGTCAAGGTCAAAGGTTGACCTCAGGTCACGTTGCATCAGGTCGCTTGACCTCAAGGTCACGTGATTTCAAGGTCATCATGCATATCATTCGATGCGCCTTGGCGAGCTGAACAGAATGAGACCATTTGTGCGGCTGTACCATTTTTATGTAAGGATTTATTAGCAGAAAACGTTTGGTAACCTTTGATGACGTCACATGCTCTTACAGTTGACCAATCGGAAGTAAGGCATCAAAGCAGTCAAAGTTGGTCATTAATCATGTCATTTATGGTACAATTGACCATGAAAACTCGGCCGTCCCAGCGTAGTGACCATGAGCGCACCGGCCAAGTTGCCCCGCTAGTCCCGGCCAAATTACCCCATATTGCCATTCTGAAAAATTTTGTCTATAAAGTCATCACGGCTTTACGGAATTAGATAAAATTGCTCTTGGAACCGCTGAACACCCCCAAGAATGGCGCTATAATGTCTGAATTCGTTTTTAGCCCAAATACTACATGTTATACAACTTTGTAAACAGAAGTAAAAGTTACCATTTTCTAATAAAAGTAACGTTTTATTAATTTTGAATAAAACTACGAGGGGCAAAGTTTTGACATTTGTCCTCCAGTTATTTCTACCCATGACAAATGAATAGAGATTCGAGTTATTTCACTAACTTTTATTAGACATCGTACAGGTGGGGGCGGCCAATTTACACCACCGGCCAAATTACCCCACTCTCCCCTACCCCTTCGTATGGTAGTGACAACTGTTTTCAGATCATTTTGCGTACGTGTTGCGCTGCAAGCTGCGCTGTCCCGAGCAGCTGTCGACGGTGGCGGGAAACTACCTCTCCGACTACCTGGAGTCGCACTTTCACTATCTCCAGTTCGCCTACTTTAAACGTGAGAAACGACTGGGTAAACCTAACCTCAACGGCTGGGTCACTCGAATGGCCTTCCGGCAATGAATGATTTTCCAGTTTCATCGCGAATTACCCGGGTGATGATACCTTGGTCAATGTTATAATCACTACGTTTCCATGGCACAAGTTAATCCGTTTTTGCAAAATGGATGATCTCGATCATGTCATGCAGAGTACATGATATCAAACTGTAAATATAGGATTAAGTGACAGCTAAAGCCATAAATACGCTCATTTTTTGCATAAGGTGAATAGTGTCCGAGAAAAGTGCCCGCGAAATTTCATTAAATCGATTTTGTCGTGGAAACGTAGTAAATGTAACGTAAGGTCTGAATCACTGCATATATAGAATCTGAGCTCGTCGTACCGCCTGCTGCCGTACAGTCATTTTTTAATCACAGTCCTCAGATCATTTTATGGATTATTCCACCGTCTCGTCATTACAATTATAGGCATACGATTGCAACCGCAGGCTGATGCAGTCCATGTATGGTCAACTTACGTTTGTTGTTGATTTGCCATAACGGCCGTTTTGTCCTTTTGCAGAAAACATGCTTCGAGAGGCGTGCAGTAATGTGGCCAACTACCTGTTGTTCAAGCCCAACGACCAGGACATGCTGGGAAATAAACAGCTCTACTTGAAAGAAGAGGACGTTGATGAGAGTTTCTTCACCCCTAGAGCGGTAAGACGCGGGCTTCTGTGAGCCGACCGGCTGGATGTGTTTGTCGCTGGCCACTTAAATTTGACGACACCTGTAATTTGTAAACGAGTCTAAAGCTTTCACTCAAGTGGTAATGACTCTAAATAATGTATGGGGCCGTGGCTACCAGACATGTGCATGGATCCGAGAAAATGGATCTGGGATCTGATCCCACGGATCCTGATCTCGGATCCGACGGGATCATAGATCCAGCTCTGTAATTTATCGAGAGATCCGTATGGATCACAGATCCGAGTCTCATTTTTTGCTTGAGATCCAGTGAGATCATAGATCCTCACTTATCTTCTGTTAACACATGTATCCCAAAAAAGCACTTGTTTCAACTCAAAAACGTTCTGTTTTAGTGATTTTATGTGATCGCATGTCATGATCCATAGTTTTGTGTCACTTATTGGCATTAGAAACCCTTTAAAACATGGTTTCAAATGTGGTGCCTGGTGGGATCCACCCAGATCATAGATCCATGTTCTTAATATATCGTCAGATCATATGAGATCATAGATCCAAGATGTATTTTTCACGCCGGATCCGGTGGGATCATAGATCCCAACCTGTACTTTGCTTCGAGATCCACTGAGATCATAGATCCATTACTCGGATCCATGCACATATCTGGTGGCTACTGAAATTTGTTCAATCGTTCAAATGACCTCCATTTACACAGGACTGAAGTCAGCTACAGATACCGACTCAATTATTTCAATGCCATATGGTGTTTGCGTGGACCAACATCACGGCACAGGGAGAATGTAATCAGCAAATGCATTCCCTGGAAATATTAATCAGTCGCAAGTAGTCGAGCACCGCTCTCTGATTAGTTTGATGGCTTTGACAGCCATGCTACGAATACCTACATGACATAGCTTCACAGACGATCGTACTTTCAAAATCGTCCACGGAGGTTAAATTGTACGGATGTATAACGCAGTACGCATTTACTTCCGTGTTTGCTAATGTCGAACGTTCTTTGGCAGGATATTCTGGAGATTTCCCGACGAATTGAAAAGGAAAGGAAGCTGGATAACTACATATTGGAATATTTCCGCTTCAGCGACGATGATGCACGGAAGAAAGGGGTAAGTTTCCATATTCTCCTCCATGGGCTCAAAATCATCAGCGCGTCTTGCTTGTGCTAGTGGTCGTTTGCAAGTGGCTTTAAATGATGAACTTCCCTATACATGGCCTGCTTGTTGCATTGACGCTATTTTTCTCCTTGTCTTTATAACGAACGTTGGTTACGAATGTATTCTTAGCGTGCATTGTAGCAGGCGCCTTTTGGTATGTTCATCTGGGACGGGACCGAAGGGCGAGAACGGTGGGCCGTTTGAGAGGATATTGTAACTCGCCTATGCATTCAGAGGCGCGCCACCGGCCACTCCAGGCTTGCTGCTGGCTGTTGCTAGGACAGAGAGTAATCTTGGCTGGGACTGCCTGGTCAACTGTAACCCTGGGGTGCTCGGCCGCTTGGCTTGCAGGCCCCTACTAACGGGCAGCGGACGGCCGTTTCAGGACACGGCGGAAGCGTGACTAATGCGGCTCAACGTGAGGATCTCATACGGGGCGTAGTGCGCGCTACCAGCTTCCAGTCGCTGCTGCACTGCCTTTGGGACGTTCGAACGTTTGACTGGCTACTGGGACGGGCCAGTCCGCCCACCGGTGCTGCCTGACCGCCGAGACGGACGCTCACTAACAGACTCAACCGGCGGCGGTCGGCTGCAGGGCGCGGCAGGGGTGTGAGTGCGGTCGCAGCTCTCAAAACGGCCGGAACGCAGCTGTGGCTTATAACTCGGGAAGTGCTTGCCAAATGTGTGAATGTTCATGGATAGCAATCGTACCAGTGTAACGTTTCTCAAGTGTCCCAAGTGACATGCGCGTTCCCGTTCGCTCATGAATTTGATTTGATGGTCACTTTACGTTACTCGTTGCAGGCTAGCCTACCATACACTGGCAGTGCTTAGCCATATTTGTTCGTGTTGGTGATACGCATATACATTTGCTTGTGTAGACTGTTGCTGATTTGTCTTGAAACACAATATTTTGAATTCGTTAGAATTTAGAAATAAAATACTCCGTCTGTGCATTTCCAAAAGGCTGATTGTATGGCAAGGCCCTATATAGAAGGTATGCTCATTAGGCCGAAGCAGCGATTTCCGTGACGTCACAGGTACGAAGGGTCGGACGGCTGTAATGCAATCCTATGGAAAATGACCCAACTTTAGGGCTCTCCCACGTAGCTGCCAGACTCGACACTAAGGTAAAAATTATATCACATAAAAGCTCGAATCAAGACGAACAAGAAACCTATCTGACGTTTTTACGTATTACTGACGGCTTAGACTCTATTCAAGTATATTCAGAGCTCTGCATTAGCTCACTTTTTCTGCTGTCAATGCCACTACAAATGCCTAATCGGCGCACGTGCGCTTGTCGAGCGGGGACCACCAGTCGGGCGATTCGGAGCTGCCGCCCAATCAGAACGCCGCAATGCCGTGACGTCATTGGTCGCACACGACACGTTACGGAGATAGGGATGAGACAGCCCTGATTGTATGGCGGTCATCGTGCCGTACAGGTACTGTCTATTGAATGTTTTTTGTTGTGAAAACTTATGCACGTGCTAGGTACCTAGTATGCCACTCATTTTGAATTGTCTCCTATAGTTTTTGTTGTTGTTGTACTATTGGATTGCTCGATACTAGAGGTGGCAAAAGATGAAAATTTTGGGAACCAGACTCGGACCAGACCCGGCAGGACATTTCTGGAACCAGTCGGACCCGGTCTTAGTTGGAATCGGAACCAGTTGGACCCGTTCCCCAAAAGTCAATTAATACAAACTACTTGTAGGTACCATTAGTTGCATCATGTAAAACAGCCTATTTCCAATTGGGAATACTCATGAGCTACTGTGTGCAAAGAAACATTCACTTAATTCACTTCATATTTTGCAATAATGTGTAGTGTGCAAGATGTATAGTTTATGGTAGGACCCGGTTGGACCCGTCAGAAAATTTCCAGGAACCGGGTCCAGACTGGTTCTTTGGACCGGGTCCTCGGGTCCACATTTTGCCACCTCTACTCGATACCCTAGTCCAGTACGCTCAACGTTTCAAAACTGAATACATATGTAAACCTCCTGTCTGTGTGTATTGAATTGTTTTTCACTATGTGTTTACTGTTTCTGGCCTATTGTCATCCAAAAAAGTTGGTAAGTCGATAAGTCGCACAAATCCAAACAGTATTGTGCAACCTCTATGCTTCTCAGCATGAAGACGGCGGGAGGGACGTGGATATCCCACCAGAAGGAAGCGCTCGAACGGGAGCGGGTACTCTCACAGCCAGCTCCGGCTCAGCCGAGGTGTGGGTCGAGGGTTGGCGGGCGGCCGGGTTCAGAACCGCAGAGGAAAGTCGGGAGGAGCAGGGGGTTTCCGACGCTCTGCTGGAGCTGCACAGCAGGCTGACGGCGGGCAGCACTGCCCCGGACGTCCCGGGGCCGCGGCTGGACAGAGTCGTCCTCACCAGCGGGGAGGCGGAGCTCGGCGGCCCGCGGAGACTCGTGGCCGACCACCTGCTGACGGCCGGCGAGTGTCAGCGGCTGTCGGATCTGCTAAAGGTCAGTGAGCAGTGACACAAGCTGTCGGATCTGCTGCAAGTCAGTGTCAGAGTCAGTCGGATATAATGGAGGTCATTGTCAGGTTAGTGTCAGCGGCTGTCTGATCTGCTGGGGGTCAGTGTTGAGGCTGTCTGATCTACTGCAGTTCAGGTCAGAGGCTCTCGAATCTACTGGAGGTCAGTGTGAGTGACTGAATTACTGCAGATCAGCATCAGAGACCGTTGGATCTACTGTGCCAGACACTGGTCTTTAGGTTAGGCTGTCGGATCCGGTAGGCACTTGAGGTCAAACCGTTTACGATTCAGTCATTGTGCGGAGTGGTTCATTGTCGTCTGTCTCCATTGAGTATCGCGCGTCCGTTCCAGACGGTCGGCGCTGTGGGTGACGGGTACCGCCGCAAGAACCCGCTCTCCAAGCAGGAGCAGCTGGTGGGCCTGTCGCTCGGGCGGCTCGTCGCGGTAAGAGGCGCGGTCGCACCGGCGCACCGGCGATAGATACCGCAGATCCATCCACATCCCGCTGGGTTGTTAGAGCATATCCGCCGTGATCGTCAACCATCCATTGATACCGAAATTCAATTTTAGGCTCTTTGAATCACTGAATTACGGTCGAAGCGAAAATGTGATAAGCAGACCCTGTTGGCCCGTTCGACCCACAGAGCGTAGACAGGGGCGCTGCGTCTCGTGAGGATCTGCAGCTTCTGATGGAAGTCTCCGACGCCGCCCGACTGTATGTGTCACGACGGTGGGGTGTGGAACCCCTCTACTCGTCCTTCACACACCTCGTATCGCGAACACCCGTCCCAGGTCAGTTTGGGTGGCTACTCTTCTATCCCCACGTCCATTAGGTTTAAGTGAACCTTACCGCACACCCGTCCCAGGTCAGTTGGGATGGCTCGTCTTATGTCAGTTGCAGTTGACAAATATTATGTCGGTTTGATATCCGGGATGACCGCAGGCTTCCTACACCGCTCGCACCCACATGCCCCACCCACTGCTGCCCCTCAGTCTTGCAGTGCGGACGTTGTCTCACGAAGCCCTGTGCCTGCAGGGCTCAACTCGAGCCGGCCGCTGGAGTTCAGTCACCCCATCCACGTGGACAACTGCCGCCTGTTCAACAACGGCACCTGCTGGCCGGGCGGCGGCGCCTTCATCCACCGGCACTTCAGCGCCATCCTCTACCTCAACAGCGACTTTGACGGCGGAGAGTTCGTATTTGCCGACATCGTCAGCCGAAAACCAACCGTGAGTAGTGTAGTAGCATCTGTTCCTACATGGGACAGTAGTGGTATCTCAGTATGTAACATTGCTCTCAGATTACGCACTTCATCCGGTGGACCTCAGACCAACCAGATCTCTCAGCGTTCTCAACGTAAGCTACAAAAAATGCCACGTGCTTTGCCCAGGATGAAATTCGCTCGACTGGTTAACAGCGCAAGGAGACCAGACAGACCAGAGGTCCTGCTGCTCTCCACCGTGGATGCAGGGACGTGCACATTTGCCGCGTCCCGTGGACCCCTCTGCGGCCGCCCGTCAGAGCTGTATGTCCGCCCCCGGTGTGACGTCCGCGGCCCCGGTGTGTCAGGTGCGGGTACAGCCGCGCTGCGGCCGGCTAGTGGCCTTTTCGGCCGGCCCGGAGAACCCGCACGGCGTGCTGGCTGTGAGGCGTGGCACGCGCCGCGCGCTGGCCATGTGGTTCACACGCACCGGCCGTCAGCGAGAGGAGGAGCGCTTACTGGCCGATATCTACCTGCGCGACAGCAGCGCGCTTGGTGAGTGAGAGCGTCCTTTGGCGGACCCCGGGGAGCGGCATCGCGCGACCGGTTAGAACAGGACTCAACGAGGCCAGCACGGGGCAGCGCTCTCGTCAGGGAATGATACGTCCAGGTCAAACGGAGGAAACCCATGCTCAACATTCATGATAGAATCGTACTTCACGTCACCCTGACTTTCCTCTGTAAATACATAACGTACTTGCACATCGCTTTATATCACTTTATTTGTACTTTTTCGTACCGTTTTCGCACTGTCCACACAATCATTTTCAGAGCCTTGAACACTAACGCACAACGTTGTCATTTTACTCCAGAAGTTCGTCGGATGGTCTCTTTACTGGAGAGGAATTTCGAGCGGGCCGACAAGCTGGTGTAGAGGTGATCTACCCGCGGAAGGCAGCAGTAGCCGCACGAGGGCGCTCCGAGCAAGGATATCGTAAAGTAACCGAGACGCCGGCAGAAAGGCGACGAGGCGTCTTCACATCCGGAGGGGCGTCAAGCGGGTGTGTTTCCGAGGCTGCTCAGCCCCGGCAGCCTACATACGGCTTCAGTGAAGCTACTGGTGTACAGGGTGTCTCAAAAGTTCGCTTACACATTTCCCATGTCAATAAAGCATATAAGAACCGGCCAAAAATCTAAGGTTTTGGTGTCCGTGTGTACACTAGACAAATATGCATGCTTTGACAACTGATTCGGAAGGTTTGAAACCAAACCCTTTGGTGTATCTCCAAAAATATTTGCCCATACCGATTTTCGTCACTCCGTCAGCTGCCGGAGGCTGATAAAAGGTTACCAGCTTTCAAGCTCTTGTTGGGGAATCCCCCGCAGTTTCTGCGTCGGATTTAGGTTTGACGAGCTCCCCGGCAACATCCGCTTCTCCCTGAAAGCCGATAGCTTGCATCGACACCATCCGTGAGTATTTTGTAGGTCTTCTCTGGCGCTAACTCCTTCATGAATGACTGGCGCCGACCTCCCAAGCACCATTTTCCTTTTCAAAACAACCCCATTCCTGAACAAATGGGAAGTGCCAGGGGCAAATTTTTCGCAGCATATCGTAGCAGAATGTGTCGGCCGTCTGTTTTTTAGACACATTTTGCAAAATTTGCAAATCCCGAACGCTCGTCATTCCCAATGCCAAGACCTTCGCTGGGTTCCGGAGTGTTTTCCTCAGGAGAGGTTCTGCTTCGTAAACGGCCAAAACCTGTCCATCGTGCGGTTTTGTCCGGATTTTGTGTGTAAAAGAAAGCTATTTGCTCCAGATCTGCCTCTTGAAACTTCGTTAGATAAAACTTTACATTAATTGACACTTTTGGAGGGTCACTTGTCCTCGGCATTGACGATTTTCGCATTATTTTCCCTCAAAATTTAGCGTTATAGATATTATAAACAATTTTAAATGATATTTTGTCTTTACTTTATGATGACCTGCAATTTTTGAAACTGGGTAACCTCTGTCTGTGAGCTTCTAGTCAGTTTTCAATAGTTAGGACTGCATTTTCAGCTGCTTTCCGGAGCACGAGTCTGCTGCGGTACAAGGGTCGTTCAAAGCGCTGTTAGTCTCGCATGGTTTTGCCTTCAAAAATTTTAGCCACCGTTTTTATTAGATGACCATCATGTTGTACTCAACCTCGCCGACATTTTGCCATGTGTCATTTCCGACCTAACCATTCCCATTACTCGTGAAGCAGAGAGTTTCTCAGCCGACCCGAGTATGCGACCTCCATTTTCATGCCTGATCCATGGTCAGAGGTGAACCCTTTTTGTGTGCTCATGAAGGGTCGAATGCGCTTGAATACAATGAAGCTGCTTGAGGAAGGTTGTTACCAATGCCCATGCAAAATTTCGACTGTTAATTTCATGTTGATTCAGAATTATTGACAAAAAAGCATGGCTGGTACCTGTAAGCGAACTTTTGAGACACCCTGTACATATCACATATGTTCAATATACGTTGAGAGGTAAGTGGACATGTAGGTTCATAATATAAATTAATACATTCGTTGCGTTCGCAAGTAGAAAAATCGCGATCACATACCAGTAATTGCATTGATAACAGACAGGCCTCCCAGAGGCCGGGCCCAGTCCCACTACTGCTCACCGGTCAGGACCGGGACCGTTTGGACGGTGGCCAGCTGAAGTCCAGGTCCAGGTCACAGAGGGCGTCATCGGCCGACTCGAACTGCGACTGACCGCCGGCGCAGACCGGCGCGGCTGTCTCGGAGGGCGCCGGTAGGGTGGTCCGGTCCGCGGCAGGCGTCCGCTCGCCGCCGCCACACGCCGCGCCGGGACCCTGGGCGGGCGGTGCGGCGGCGGGGGCGGCGCTGAACCGCGCCAGCTTGCTCAGCGTGGCGGCGGACAGGGTGCGTCGGCTCGGCTCGGCAGAGGAAGCCGTACCGCTGCCGGCGGTACCGGAGGGCGGGGACGTCTGGTCTGGTGCGGTCCGAGTCTGAGCCGGCCGGCTGGAGCGCGCACCGCGGCCGCGAGCCACACTGACTGAACTGGGACGGCCGCCGCCTGCACCTTCTGAGCTGACTCGGCCGCCAGCATCGCCATCTGCGATCAGTCTGTCACATACACCCTCTGAAACAAGCCGAGCGCCCCCGCTCTCCGCCCCTCCCGGCGGGCCACTGGGCCGGTCCGAGAGACTAAAGTCATCCAGGTCATCTGACTCCATAGGTGCGATGCGGTTAGACGAATCAGTCGTCTTATCGCCGTGCAGCGCGGCGGCCCGATAACAAGTCTTCTTGACTGGCGAGCGGGACCCAGCGGACACAGCACGCCTCTCCGTCGACGGCCTGGCACGGACGAATTTGAACCTGTCCAGCTGGAGGGCTGGCCGCCGATCGTCCACTGGCTCTGGAGGTGTGCGATCGGTGGCAGAACGTAGCCTAGTCAGAGAGTCGGCGGGTTCAGTTGCACGAGGCTGAGGGTCAGCGGGTTCCGCAGGACGGATCCGTCTCACAGAGTCCAAGGGCTCAGCGGTCGCGGGTGCGGAGTCGGGGTTTGTCATGCATGCTGCCGCGCGGGCCTTCAGACTGGCGAATCGACTCCGGGAGTTGGTAATGCCAGTCGCGTCGGCCCGCGGAGTCGTGTCAGCAGCTGGTTCCTGTCCCAATCGCCGGGACTGCGATCGGTCGGGGGACGATCTGCCCTCAGGGCACCGAACGTCACCGTTCTGCGGGGCGCCCCGCTGAGTTTGCTGCTGTTGTTGATGCTGCTGCATCTGATGCCGCTGCCTCTGATTCTGCTGCTGTTGGCCGCCCGGCTCGTCTGCCGGAACTTCCTCGGCGGCGTCCGACCAGCGTTGTTCGTCCAGTGCCGCCAGTTCGGCCGACAGCAGATCGTCGAGGCCGAGCCGACCCAGAATCAGCTCACCTGACGGACACGGCGACAGTCAGACAGATGGGTAAGCCACAGACAGATGGATACAGCATAGCTAGATGGGTGCGGCACGGACGGCTAGATACATCGCGAAAGGACGAAAGACCGACCGACAGATACAATAGTAGGAATATGTGTTGGTAGATGGGCACCGCGCATACACAACTAAGAGAGACGGACACAGGCAGACGGACAGCTCTAAAACGGAGCCAACAGGAAAACAAACTCATAAGAGAGCTGATGCTCTGGGTTACCTGGCTATTGTCCCCCGCCCCGTACCGCCCTGTCAGCCGGGGTTGATCGTGTTCACGTCTAGTGTTACTCGACAGTCGTACTTACACTGCGCGCGGTACTCGTCGGCCGGACTGTCCGGGAAGCCGGTGTGCAGGATCGAACCCACGCCGTCGGCTCCGAGCAGGCCGCCGCCCAGACCGCCCAGTGACGCCTCCATCAGCGTGACGGCCACCACGGCATCACAGAGCCGCGCTCCGTCCGTCGAACAGCGGAGCCGCGCGTGCGCCTGCGTCAGCCGCAGCAGCGACTCCAGCAGCCGGACCGTGGTGCGGGAGCGGCCCACCGCCTGCTGACTGCGCAGCCGCTGGTGGAGGGACGGGGGCGCGTGTCAGTGGGAAGAATAACCGTTAGGTCACTGAGGGAAAGGGGAACAGTCACTGGGAGACCACGCACGCACTGCGTACCAACTACGAAGACCGAACGCCGTGATATGTCTGTATGAAGGGCGACAGCGGGTCTGTGTGAGGGCCAATACCCGGCAGTCTGTCTGTATGAGGGTCACACGTAAAAGGTTTGTATGGACTGGCCGTGTCCGTACCTGGTAGTAGGTCTGCAGCACGGTGACGGCGTCGCTGTCCGGCTGCGGCTGCAGGGTCCTCACGTGTGCCAGGTACGCCTGCAGCGTCTCCAGACTCCAGTCGGCCGTCTCTAAACTCGGATCGCCGGTGTCCGCGGCGCCGCCGCTCAGTGGATCCAGGCCGGATAGGATGTATCCGGATACCAGCCTGTCGGGAGCAAGTACACGGTTAGATGCAGGACAAAAAGGGCACCGATACCAGCCTGGGGCTCCTGGAGGTCGTCGATAGTAGGACACCGAAATAATAGAATATGGTGATTGGTGAGACTAGCGAGCGCAGTAACTTTATTGATACGTTTTAATAATTCTGGTAGATGGTGTACGACAATCACTGGTCAGCGGTTGCCGTCTTTGCAACTGGTGAGGCGACTTTCGGACGGAGAGCAGCATACGCGGCTAAGCAGCCTGTCCAATGAGAGCAGCAGCAGCGCCAGCGCCCGAGGTCAACTTACTTGTCCCAGCCGGGGCTGCGCCCGTCCTTGAGCACCAGTATCAGGTCGAACCGGGAGAGTAGTGGTGAGCCGAGCCCCAGTCGCGAGAGTACGTCTCCGTCGGCCTCCCAGTCTACCGGCTGGCGTGGGTTGGCCGCCGCCACAATGGAGCAGCGCGTATTGAGCTTACACACCATCCCCGCCTGACGGAGGAAGGGACTGGAACGTCAATATCACGGCCGGACTGTCATGAGAATGTGAATCCTTCACGACAGAAACATCACGAGAACACAGAGTCGGCAAAACAGCGCCCGATGAGCAAGACAGGATTGAAAAGTGGGCATCGAGCAACCAGTAAACTGTATCACAAACACGACAAACCGAGCGCCGGCTAGGTGGAGATTTAACTCAGCCATCCGACTGCCCACCTAGCGCACAGTGGACGGCCGTCCGTCCGCCGGCGCGCGCTCACCTTGGCCACACTGATGGTCTGCTGTTCCATGGCCTCGTGGATGCTGGTCTTGTCAGCCTCGCGTACCGAGTTGAACTCGTCTATACAGCAGACGCCGCCGTCGGCCAGCACCAGCGCGCCGGCCTCCAGCTGCCACTCGGGACCCTCCTGGGCGGACACACGGTGGACAGTCAGAATTAAAGACCATCACGACATCACCTGCTGGCCGGAACAGCCACACGGGTGCAAATAAAGTACCACCTGCTGACCGGCCTGAAAGTGCTACAGTCCGAGGGGCTAGGACAGAACTACAGACCGCTGACCTGACGTTTTCGACTGCTGGAGTAGAAAGGGGTCTTAAAGGTAGTGTGCCACTTTCCAATGATTTCCCATTTTATTTTTCCTAGGATAAGAAGCTGCTGTTTTTACCTAACATCGCAAAAAATCAAAAATGGGCCTGGAATAGTGCCTTTTCGCCTAAAATTTTATCGGTTTTTCGA